AAATAGTTTAAGTCTGCTTTGACCTCTAACAGGTACAGCCTTTACCTCGGACGGCTATTGGCGATACCTTTTACTCGCATTAGATAAGTCTCTACGCTTTTTGTTGTGTCGCGCTGTCTTCGCGTAATCCTAAACTTTCTACATGTGGACTGAAGATTATGCTGGACGTGGCTCAACAGAAGTTGCTTCAGCGCTTCTTCACCATCTAGATTCTCTTGACTACGATGTAATTAAGAAAATTCGACCATTCTGTGATGGGTGTACAAACAGGTCAAAACAAAAATTCCTACATCGTTCTGGAGTTCGGAGTTCTGGAATTAATTTTGTGACCTGTATGAAGATGGTGTTGACCTAGAGCTGAAATTGCACAAATGGAATGTTCATAAATCCTATTTTGGATTCTACGATTTGTTTGGCCTATATAGGATGGGGGACAGTCTGCACAAGGAATTTGATAAACTCCGTGCTGTTCATTTGGAATGTTGTCTTTGATTGATCAGACAAGGGATGGCAATTTTTTTGAGGGGTAAATATTGTTTTTTGTTCCTCTTGATTTAAGAATTTTGTCGATTTTGTAAGTGACACCTTTAATGTAACGAAGAAAAGCTTTCTTATTATAAGGGTCTGAGTCTTTGGATTGAGATTGAGTGGGAGATTGATGTCTGTGGATACACCCATTGATGTGAATTTCGCGCTAATCGTTTTGATAAGGGGTTGTTTTAAATTAATTTAAAAATACAAGGGTATTAATTAGTGAACTAATTTTTAAAGGTGGATGGTGAGAGTTGACATGCAAGGAACGATTGGTATGTGGGGGTTTTCGATAAACAGAGTAATGAAAACCTTGGGATTGGTTTTTCTTTATGATAACGTTGAGAAACGGTAGGGATGAATCAGTTTCCATCTCCATCGTGAACTAGATACTAGGATGTACCTATACCATTCAAATGGGTTTGAAAAGGCACCAAAGCATCCCTGTCATGGGGCCAAATAACGAATGCATCGTCAACATATCGTAGTCAACATTTGAGCTTGAGTATTGATGTGGACAGTGCTAGGGTCTCGAAGTCTTCCATAAAGATCTTGGCCAATTACTGGAGATAGAGGGGGGCCCATTGGGGTACCATTTATGTGTCTGTAGAATTAATTTTGGAAGATGAAATATGTGTTGGACATACAATGTTTTTTTTTTTTATTTAAAATTAACGTGTCTCGACAGCTTTACAACATTATACATATTTTATATAGGTATAGGTACAAGAATTTAATATGAACATTTTTTTTTTTATAGAAAGGTTAGAACAATAAAGCTTATCACTATGCACTGTTTATATTAGCTGAAATAAACTTGTTTCTTTTAAAAATCTAAGAACACTGTCAAAACGGTTTGGAACACTGAGAATGTCTTTTAGATTTCCTTTTAGGCTGTGCTTGTTTCTGGAAGAGTCATACTGGCAGCAGTCCACTATCACGTGTTTGATGGAAAGGACGTTATTACAGTAGTGGCATACTGGAGGGTTTTCTGATGCCATAAGGTATCCATGTGTTAGACGTGTATGCCCTATTCGTAGTCGGTGAATAACTGATTTTTCTTTCCTGTTCATAGAGGAGATATTGACGCGGGATAAGTTGGGCTGAACTTCATGGAGCTTAGTTTTTGTTTTACTCCACAGGTCCGCCCATGAGCTGAGGATTCTTTGTTTTATCAATATTTTAAGATCCGTATGGATTTGGACCTCTTGGAAGGCTATGTCAGAAGAACATGCTGCTTTAGCGGCTTGGTCTGCTTTTTCGTTTCCCAATATACCAACATGAGATGGAGTCCAGATCATTATGACTTTTATGTTAGCAGAATATAGTTGGTTACAGATAGTGTGGATTTCCTGGACTAGTGGGTTTTTCGAGAAAATGCATCTTATTGAATAAATCGAGGAAAGAGAATCTGTGCATATGGCGATTTTTATGCTTTCATTTGAAGTAGGACGGATTGAAGTCTTTAATGCTTGGAGTATTCCATATAATTCTGCGGTATAGATACTACAACTTTTAGGCAATCGCACAGAGCTTATTGTCGTCGTCAGTGTGGACACAGCGGAGCCACAACAGTCTTCATTCTTGGACGCATCGGTGTATAAAATTTCATCAAATTGTATTAAGTTGAGGATGTTTTGGAAGGATTTTCTAAGGATTAAGTTTGGGGTTTCTGTTTTGTCGAATCTGCATAAATCTACATACAATGTTTAATGAGAGAGAAGTGGTCTTGTTGAATATTGTATTTAGTTTTCAGAATGTTTAGATTAGTTTTCAGAATGTTTACAATATTGTTTAAGAAGTTCGATGAAATGAAAAGAGTTTTTGACGAAAGATGAAGCATTTTCGGCGAAAAGTTGTAGGGTTTTGGTCAAATACTTGGCCAATGGTTGTGTAGGGCAGTTGTATGCACTGACAATTGGACGTAGAGGAATATCGTGTTTGTGAATTTAATAATGACTTGAGATATTTAACATACCAACCTTATTTACTATTCATGGTTGTTGACATCTGAGGAAATGTAGGTAATATTTGCAACTATTTTGGTTTAATTTCTAAAAAGTAATTAATGCAACTAAGAAAAAATATTTGCAATGTAGTTCTGAAATGTATTGAAATATGGTATAATTTTAAACAAAATATTTAAATGTCAGTTATTTACAATAAAAAACATTTTATCTCTTAACTGAACTAATATTATGTATTTATTAATCTTTTAAGGTGTTGAATTCCGAGGACTGAATTACATAGTTTACAGTTGAAATTAAATACAACAGACAATGTTAAATAATTTTAATTTATTTTTTTACAATATGCTCGGACTATCAGTAATTTGTTTTCTTGTTAACTAAAATTAAATTAGATACTTGTACTTACTTGAGAATAATTATTAAAATAAACGTTTAAAGTGAACTCTACCTTACGTTAATACGACGAATCCAATTGTTAGTAATGCCATTCTTCTCCCCTTACTATATGTCCCAGATAAGACATTTTTCGATCTTTAACAGTCTTTAGCAGTTCCTTATCTTTGTTGACGCTTCTGAGTACTTCTTCATTAGTTTTTCTTGCTGTCCAAGGTATCTTCAGCATTCGTCAATGAATCCCCATTTCCAATGCTTCAATTTTGTTCATGATCAATATTTTTAACGTCCACACTTCTGCACTATACAAAAGTACGGACCAAACATAGCACTTAACTATTCTTTGTCTTAATTCTAAACTGAGATGATAATTGCAAAGAAATGACTTCATTTTCATAAAAGTAGTTTTAGTCATTGCTATTCTACGTTTTATTTCTATGTCTGGATCTAGTTGGTCCGTTATCACAGTTCTCAAATATTTCATTTTGTGAACTTTCTCAACTTCATCATCAATCAGTTCTTTCTAGTGTTCTCTACACTGGGCTGCTTGTAGCCAGTTTCCCGCTACACGTTTTATATCATCGTTCCATCTAGTCGGTGGTCATCCTCGGCTTATTTTATAGTTTCTGGGCCTCCATTCCATAATACTTCTTATCCACCGTCCATCTTGTGTTCTGACTAAGTGCCCTGCCCAGTTCCACTTAAGCGTCGTGGTTCTTTCGATGACGTCTCGAACTTCTGATCTTTGCCTGATTTGTTGGTTTGTTATGTGGTCCCGAAGGCTCACGTTCAGCACTGCACGTTCCATTGGCTCGTTGTGTAAGAGTTTGTTCGAAGATTTTTACGCAAGTGTTAAAGCCTCTGCTCCATAAATTTGTACAGGCAAAACACATTGGTTATAAATTTTATAAACCTTTCGCTTGAGACACATGGGAATTGAACTTTTTAGAATATGGTTTAATTTGGCAAATGGTGCCCATGTCAGGCCTATTCGCCTCTGTATTTCATGTGTTTGATTGTCTCTGCTTCGCTTGTCAATAGTTATACTTCCACTCATTACGAGATTTGTCATAATTTTAGCTTTCTTAAAGTTTATCTCTAATCCTGCTCTTTTAGACAGATTTTTAAGTGAGAGTATCATAGAAACTGTATCCTGTAAGTTATCTGCGATTAATACATCATCTGCAAACCTTAGATGATTTAATCTTTCTCCATCTATATTGATACCCAAATCTTGCCATTGAGTGTTCTTAAATATTGACTCTAGAGCTATCGTGAACAATTTTGGTGAAATATTGTCTCCTCGACCTAAGCTGAATTTTTCTGTATCTTCGTGTAGTTGTATACTTGATGTAGCATTCTCGTAGATGTTTTTGATTAGTGTCGTGTACCTGTAATCTATTCGGCTTTGATTTAGGGCTTCCAGCACTGTTTCAAACTCTACAGAATCAAAAGCCTTCTCGTAATCGAAAAATGCAAGAACCAGTGGTATGTTGTACTCGATGCACTTTTCCATTAAGATCTTTATGGTATGCAAATGGTCATTTGTGCCATATCCTGCACTGAAGCCTGCCTGTTCTTTGGGCTGATAGAAATCAAGTTTACGTGTCTCTTTGTTAAGATTTTCATAAAGAGTTTGTAATATCGCCTTTTTGTGTAACAAGACTATCACTGCATTGTTCCAGTCTTTTAGAATCGTACCCGCATGTAAGCATTTATTAAACAGTTCTTCGATAGAAGATGGAATTTAAAGAAGTTGATCCGAAGACTCCTAATTCTGCAGTAAGAGTTATTGCGATTATTTTTAGAGTCGGCAAAGGTGCTATTATATCTTTTAAGTAGGCCTGGGGCCTGGTCCCTCTGCCGGATAGAATCTGTGGATCCTCATAATAGAATGTGTGGATCTGTATAATGCCAATCTGGCAATATTTACTTTTTGTATAATTTCATCCATTATTGTACTAAATGACCACAATGTTTTGCATTGTTTCAGACTAGTATTTCCTGGATAAACGTTTCATTTATTTTATGAGAGCATACATTTTAAATGTGCTACGCAGGAAAAGGTTTCTTGGATTTGGGATTAGGATGTAATAAAAAGCACACTATAAAATCACAGACTTTATTTTTTAATGCTAGCTCACTCTGACTTCCTTAGAAGCTAAAACCTTCTCCACCATCTTGGCCCTACTTTCGAGTAACATCTTTTGATCTTCAGGTACTTTATCGGTTTTAAGATTTCGTAGAAGGAAGTGATGAATAAATAATCGCATGCTTTCTCTGAACAATTTTAACTTTTCTGACTGCGACACTCTGGCGAATACTGATAAAGAAGCTTCTACGTCTTTGTGTAACAGAATTCCTAGCAAGATCTGTCTGGTAAAACGTAGAGTCATCTTGTCTAATTCGCTGAATTGCATCACCTACAAAAAATAATACTGATAATAAAATGGAGAATTAATTGTTCTGAAATGAGAAGTATACATTATTTCTCCCAAAGTTCCATAAAGGTCCATATTTATTAACATATTTTCTACCATAAATTTCAAAAATACATTAATAAATATTATATTAAATTATAGAACAAAACACTTCTTCTTCTTAGGGTGCCTGTCCGTTCCGAACGTTGGCTATCATTCTGGCTATGATGATTTTGTTGGTTGCTATACGAAATAGCTGTGTTGAGGTCTTTCTATACCATGCTCTCTGGTTAGCAAGCCAGGATATTCTTCTTTCGAACAAAACACGCTCTTCTTAATCTGCAATACCCAAATTTAAGCGTAGGTAACTGCTCTGCTTATGGCTGTATTGTGTATACAGATATAGAGGAGGTACAATTTAATGTCAAATACAAACAACTAAGTATAAAGGAGCTGTACAGTGACAGATTAGATTTCGTGATTTGGCAGGGCTTTCGAAGAAACAGCCCAAGTAATACTATTTAGTTTTTCTAGCAGGAATCGAAATGACATCAACACAAAAGGCGGACATATTCACCTCTGAGTTACCTACACAGCAAAACATATTACACTGTGTTAACTGTGGGTTGCCTAACTTGAGGTTTTACCTTAATTTAAATATAGAGTTTGCGCTTGAAACCGTGATGATGTAAAAGCGCATGCTATAGCAGCTACTTCAAAAATAACTTAAATCTTGAAGGTAAGTTTTTTCGACATAGGTGTGGCAATTAAGTAAAATAGTTTACGTTTTTCACCAATTACTCGATTTAAATCAGCTTGTACCTAGATTTTTACAAAAATTACTAGCAATTTGCAAATATAAGATAAAATTACGATTTTATTACCGCAAGACTTATTTTACAATAATCTTTATGAAAAAATTACGCTAATACACTTTTCCAGTAGTGGAAAACTGTAGCTAGAGGATAGGTTATGCGAGAGAGCGAAATTTGGTGACAAAGTGAGGTCTGCTAAGGCATGGTTGGGATAACATGCATATTACTGTTTGTTCAGCGGTAACTTTCATGTATTGTCCATTTAAAAAAGGGATTTCTAGTATTATGGACTATATAATTCATTTCTACAAGTGATAATAAGTTCGCCATATACATATATAAACTATATACTGTAGTTAATGATACACAATTCGGTTTTCGCAAAGGTCTAGGAACGCGAGAAGCTCTTTTTTCACTAAATATATTGATACAAAGATGCCTGGACGTAAATCAAGATATATACGCATGTTTTATTGACTATAATAAACATTCGATAAAGTACGACATAAACAATTAATGAAAGCTGTCAGAAGAAATTTATAATAATAAACAATAGAACTTTGTAAGGAAATAAAAAAAATACAAAGTTCAATTTGAATTGCTTATTGAAATTATCAGGTTTATATAAAAAAATATATTCTATTAGAATATTGACACATTCTTCGAATGTAACAGTTTTCACCTTGTGTAAAAATAAAAAGTACATTGTTTACCTTTAAAGTGGATATTGGAAGGCCTTTTTCTATGAAAAGATGAATTAATAATTTCGCTAAATTAGATAGTTGAGATCCAGAATGGTCGCTTATGGTTTTAATTTTATCCCAAATCGAGTATTTTATTGTAAGCTGAAAATAAAAAGAGAATTAGTCTCTCTCAATAACTATATTTCTCAATATAATAAAAAAACTAGCAAAACAGGTTACCGAATAAAGTTAGTATTAGTTAGTAAATAGTTTAAGAAGATAATTTGTCATTTACTATCAATACACATTACTTACATACCTGATATTTCCTATCGAGATCACAAAATCTCTGAGCTAAATGCCCATAATAAGGATTGTATTGCTTTTCTTGAAGACAGCAATGCAATATGACGTTAATTATTTCCCTTTCTTGTGTATTTTTAAGGCCAAGTTTCAGAAGTCTCTCGAATGCATCCATATAATCCTGAAAATAATGATCTTTTTAGCGTTTCACAGCAATTTAGAATTTTTATGAAAATATTTAGCTTAGCGACATTTATATATCTAGCAATTGGTCAATGGACATTATAATTTCGAGTCATCAAAACTTCATCAAGACTTCTAATTAACAGAAGTCAAAATATATCAAATTTCAACTAATAAACTGACAGAGATGATTTCACATCGTCAAATAAAAGTTGTATGTACGTATATGTAAACAGTTAAAACATTATTTTTTTTTTTAATTAGATTTATACATGGTATTCACTTGGGCCACCAGACTAACATCAGTTTAATTGATTTCGTTCGTAGTTACTTTTTAGTGGCTGATTCAGAATATATCAACTCCTAATCCGTATAGTATTTTTTCTGGTTAAGACGTTAGTTTTTCTAGTTTCTTTTAACGATTAAAACATTTTGATTTTATTTCTTATTTTTTTCTATGTATTACCATTACCATAACATTTTTTATAGTTATATACTTTATATTTTTTGTTACTAGCTTCATTTATTATTAATAGTGCCACGCTACGGTCAGAGATTGTTTTAAAGCATAAATAAAAGAAAAAATTAACGAAAATAAGAAATAAGCAGGGAACGAACATAGGGCTGAGAAGTCGGGCCCCACGTTGGGCGCCACTTCTGTAACGGCCAAGTCGAGGTACGACATCATATTGCTGGAGGACTGACTGATATTAGTCTGGTGACTCAATTATAAAATTTAGTGTGGTCAATCGATTGATTGGAACGTTACAAATTTATTTGAACCTCAGAACGCGTATCAATATTTCATTGACTGTTTCTAGCGAACTTTTTTTATTAAACTAAACTCAAAAATACTCCTTTTTATCTGGCCATAAAATGTTGAGTATTAACTAATACAGTTTAATTCACTCTCAGACTAATTACTTTACTAAGTGGAGTTTGACTGAATAGCTTTGTATACTATAAAAAGAACTTTTAATTAGTTAAAGCTTCTAAAGGCTAATTAATTATATTACCATAAAAAGCTGACTGTTGCAGCATCAGGAGTCAAGCCGTCCCGATATTATAAAAGCAAAAGAAACTTACAGAAATCATTATCTTGTTGAAAATAAGAGTTATCTGTGCAAAGTGTTAGTAACTCCGGGATAGCTGATACATTCAGTTTAATTTTTGCTGTCAATGTATCAATCATCCCTTTCTAGGTTGCTTCTTATTATTTTTAGTTTTCTCCATTGGTACATTGGTGAAAAGACTGGTGATATCAAAACTGGCTAGCATATTGTTGAAAATGTAATTTGTTTCTGCTAGTTCTTGCAAGAATTACTGCGAGATTTTATAAAAGATGTGTCGTGTGCTAGCGGCTGCATTATGTCTAGGACCTCTGACAGTCTCCTATAAGGAGAACACATGCTGCTGCAAATTGGTCTGACTGGTAGATTTCCTTTTTGAATTTTTGGAACTCCGTATAAGTGTGGCGTTCTGGTATAGTGTGGTGTTAATGTTCTTCTTTGGTCGAAACGTTACAACATTAGTAGTTAAAAAATGTAATTTTTCATTCCAGGTAATAATTGTGGCTTAATCCCATACAAATATAATGTTTAAATTAGAATTGCCACAAAATAGTGTCAGAATAATTTTTAGTTGTTATAATTTTGTGTTAGTTAGTTTTATATGACAGTTGTAGAAATTGTATTATATAAATTATATACAGAACGAAATCTAGGTTTGCAAATAATCAATTTGTGAAGACTGTTCTCACTCATTCTCCGGAAGGGAAATGGTTGAGGGAAGGACATGGGAAAAAAGCAGGAAACCTACTAATTGGTAAAGTATCAACAATTTTTATATTGAAGTGTAAATAATACGACATAGTTATTATATAAAAAATTTGGTAGTTATTTTTAAATAAATTATTGTAAAACTTACCTCAGCAGACATAAGTATACAAAAGATATTTCTTCTAACGTCAGTGTTCATCCTCTGCTTTCTTGCTAACTCTAACAATTTAGATGAAAATCCTTCGGATTTTTCAGGTTTGTCAATATTCGTTTGATTTTCCGTTTCTGTTCCCGTCCAAGCAGAACCCACAACCCACCATCTTCCTCTTTGATCAGCTAAAATAAAATATATCCATAAATTAAAAACTTCTTTTTAAATGAGAATTTAAAAATACTCTAAAAAGAGTATCCTGTTAAAGAAGAAAAAATAAATGATAAGGAAAGTGGGACAGAGAAGCAAAATAATATGATGGCATAAAAGAAAAAAGGATCTGTAAACATAGAAGACCAGACAGACAAGGCTTGCTACCACGAAAATTCGACTAATATGATTTGTACATAGGATATTGTTTACTAACGAACTGTGATCCGAATATGTATAAAGAAACAACTGAAGAAAGTAAAAAATAACACAAATCTTAGAACATAGGTGATTGCAGAATTCTCAATAACTAAAGTTCTCTAAAGCTACTTGTATTGAAGAAATACCTATTTATATACTTTGTATACTTTGCTCTTTTTGATAATTTATGACAGAAAATAATGTCGAGAGATTTAGTAATGATTCTTGTTTGTATCGAAATGAAAAAACATGGCTTCTGTAATACATAAAGGAGGATAAACATTTAATAACAAAATCAAGAACTTCTACTCACCTTTTAACAAATCTTCCAACGAAATATTCAACTCCGTCACGTAGTTCCCTTTCCGTATAAACCCCTTCATAACTTTCTTTAAATGTTCCGAATATGATACGTCATAGTTAGGAATCTTGCTCATGTTATTGTTCTTGATCGCCAATAGAATGTCCAACATGAACTTCACTCGCGAACTGCAAAATAATAGATTAAGAAAAATACCGGAACCGTAGAAAGAATAAAGCTCGTAACGAACAGTTCTCTAAATATGCTTTCATCGTTCATTCCAAAATGTGTTATAAAGGTTTGTAGTAGCCATAAAAGAACTAATTTTGGACGCATAATTTTGGTAAATAATTTGTTTCATCATGACAGAACGATTAATGTAAGGATAAATGTCAAATATAGGTTGTTTTCTGTTTTGGCTCGTATATGCCTTTATTCTAGTGTAGATTAGGGCGGATCTGTGAAAAAGCTACATTTTAATGTAAGAGGTGCCATTCTTATTTTGGCAAAAAAGTTATGTAAAATCTTCAATAATAATAATTGACTTATCCTCCCTCGCATATATGTCGGGAATATTAACCCCCTATCACTCGCACCTCAAAAAATTACGCCATCACTCTCGCGTGTTAGATTTTATCTCATATGGGTATAGGTCAAATAAATGAGTCATTAGTACTTATTGGTAGGGTTTATTTGCTATTAACTCACAAAAAAAAAACGATAAACTTATATTGTTTTAAAACAAAACTGCAAAAAAAACTACTAGGCAAACTAAAAAAATATACACATTACCCTAGAACAAAACAAATAAGGGTTTGTATTTTGGAATAAATAAGATTTATTCCAAAAAAATGTACGCATTACGCATAAAATTAGATTTCTTCCTCTTCTATGCAGTGGTGGCAAGTAAAATTTGTTAGAGAAACTGATGGTTTTTCTCCGGTTATATTTCGGATCCTGAGTCTCAAGTGAAAAGGCTGATTTGGGATATTGGAACGTTGTTGAAGATGGGACATTAAAAGTTGCTTGCAAAGCTCCGCAATGTAGCTTCTTCGAGATGTTACAATATTAGTGTTATTGTTGTAAATTATTTGACTGTTTATAGTTGAAATATTTAGTAGGCTGCAAAAATCAGTAAACGGCCAGCGGTTGCTAAATTGAATCACCGAGTATTCTGCCTTCATTTTAACAACATTCACTCCGCCTTTTGTGAGGTTGTAATCAGTAATAATCTCTGGCTTCATGGTATGCTCTTTGGTGTTTTCATCAATGAAACCATCGCTGTGTAGTGTTGAAAGTAGTAGTACATTCTTATTTTTTTTGCACATATGATACAAGTACACACTTGTTTCCATCGTCACCATATGCAAACATGCTACTACATAAAGGTCTTCCTTTTGCGTTTGTCAACTCAGTGTGAATTTGTTGTTTGTTTTTATGCAAAGTACCTATCGTTGTCAAGCAATGATCGTGCAATAAAGAGTTGCCTAAAAGTACAGAGGAAAAGTAATTATCCATACTTACATTTCGACCGGTTCCACTTATGGGTCGTATTTATATGTTTTTTTACTACACTAGATGCATCGTCGGGTAGTTGATATGGTCCTTCAGGTTGTTTGCCGGGGTAAATTTCGAGATTTTGTGTGAAACATGTTCTAGCGTCCAACAAGGCATAAATCTTGATTCCGTATTTCGCTGGCTTATTGTCTATATACTGCCTAAATTTGCATCGACCACGGAACGCTTCAAACGTTATATCTATGGTCAAATTTCCTATATTTCTCGAATGGATGCAAGATTATTAACTGCCGAATTTTCTTGTCTCTTAGTGAGGTCGTCAAATCTTACAGCTTGAATTATTTGGTGAAATTTTTTCTTGGACATAGTAGCTGTAAAAATATCTGGAGCTGCGCCATCTAATTTCCAGAGTTCATCAGTATTTAAATGTTGCGCTCTCTTTACCCCAGCAAGGAACAAAAGTCCGATAAATGCTTGCATTTCCTCGTAGTCAACAGCAGACACTCTCATCATATCCAGTTTTTGATTTGTATATTTTACAGTATTATTGATCATAGCATCCGAGAAAATCAATTTCCAGCATTCTAATATGGTTGTGGCACCTTTTGCTTTTGCTATTACGGCAGGTAAGTTTGTAACAATATTACAAGCTTTAATCTTACTTTTAGGAGTGTGTTTCTTATGTTTCAACCATCATCTTGGATTCTTTTATTCTTTATTCATAAAATCTTGGATAACCATCATCTTGGTAGCTTTCTTCCATGGCATCTTCAGGATCACTGGGTAGATCTTGTGTGGACTATCTTGTATTGTGGATACTGTGTTCAGAACGAACATCACATTAAGTCCTTATCAGAATCTAGTGGTTCCACATCGCTGTCTATCTCTTCATACCATTTTAGTAACTTCTTTACCAATTTCTGGTCCATATTTACCTGCAATAAACCAAAATAGCGCTTATAATAACGGATGTTCAACAATCTATAGGTATTTCAGTAAAATCTTACCTTTTATGATAATATTATAACTTTAATATATAAAAATTGAAAATTTAGAAAAAAAAAATATTTAAAAATGTTAGATTTTTCTAAGTGCGAGTGATGAGGGTTAATAAAAAAATTTAAACATTTAAAAATGATTAAAAACATCTTTTTTTCTACTTTTCTTGCTTACAACTTTAAAACTATTTATTTTTGAGCAAGTCGTAATAAAATAAAATAGCTATAATTGAATTTCCTAAAGAGGCGACTAGATAAAATTGTTACTTGTGAATAACACAGAACGTAATGTTACACAGAATAATAAACTCATAATAATGCCCACTCTGCTTGATAAAATAAGTACACGCATCTCGTTCGCGCAGACAGAATCAGCCATGTTTTAGTCAGAACCAGTGCTGTTCAGTGGCATTTTATCTGGTGTGAATAGAAAAATTAACCCGGTTTAATTTATTTACGGCAACTATAGACATAATATGCATTATTTTATTCGTACTTTTAGTAGAAGAATAGATTAAATTATTTCAAATGTACTAAATTATTAATCTCTAAAAATTTAAATTACAGTTCTGTCGTACTTGTCACAAATTTCTTAATTCGAGTCTGTTTCCGTTTAAAATATTATGTCGATCGCATGCAGACACACTTCAAAGGCAGCATCTGAGAGTGGGTATTCTGATTGTTATTTATTCTGTGCTTTTGTTGCAAAATATCAATATATGCAAAAAAGGGGGGAAACAAGCCTTTTCTTATTCAATGTTTTTCAACCACTTAGAATCCACTTAGGAACTTCATAATTGCACAAGAAAATTGTTATAATACAATACAGTAGTCTACCAAATTTCATTAAAATCGATTCAATAGATTTGGTATAATAATTTGGCAATCAAATTAAAGCTCGTGTATTTTTACACAATCTTGAGAGGTCGAGGAGATATACCTACTGTCACGTGCGAGCACCAAAAACGGAGTTGGTGCACTTAAAAACTAAGAGAGACGTCTAAGAATGTAACTACTGTTTTCCACATACTGTGTTACTTGTTACATAATTTAGTTGTTGGCGCGTAATTTTCGCATCCTGCATAAAATTAGGTACCTAATTTTGCACAATCTAGCAAAGCAAAAGAAAATAAACCAATGACAATCCGCAGTTTATAAAAAGAGTCCTCGTCTTGTATTAAATGTATTAAAAAACTTACTTATCTTTCTCTTTTTCAGAAATATTATTCGCTTTGTTCTGAAGCTCCAAAATCAAATTTTTCAGAGCCAAAGGGTCGTCTTTCCTCAAACTGAAACCGATACTCCTCAAAATATGTAAAATACATTCTACATCTTTTTCCTTGAAGTTATAGGCCAGTTTTTGCAACACCTCGTATACCAATCTCGAATCGAACAATTTAAAGTTATATAGTTGAGCTATTATACACACTAGATTATCCAATGTTTTATTTTCAACTTCCTGGTCACTGTTGAAATTTTCGTCAAATTTTTTGGCTATGTGCTGCAAGAAATGGGCACCTAGAAACAATATATTATACATATATAATATGGTCTGATTAACTCCACCTCCGGTAAGTGCTGGGTGGATTTAGTAGCTCAGTAAATGCCGGTGCCGGTCCCAAGTCCGGAAAAAGGAGGAGGGTTGAGGCGACGGGCTAGCAACTCATCCCTTGTCAAAAGAAATAAATGCTAAAAGTGTCGACCAAAAGCCTCGGAATACAAAGGATGGATAAAAAAAAAGACGACTAATGCAACGGAAAAGGAAAATGATATTGGCTACATGGAATGAAAAGGAAATGAAGAGATATGAGAATATATACATATCTACAGTAGAGTGGGTAAAGATAACAGAACTAAGAGAGGAGTCACTATTTCCATTTGAAAAAATCAACAATAATAAATACTGGACTGAAGTAAATGAAGAACTGCTTATATTGGAAATGAAAAAGAATGGGCACAACATCGTAATTGTCGGAGTATATGCCCAAATGAAGAAGCAGATCCAGCAAGTAAAGACGATTTCTACAACAAGATGAATTAAATAGGCAGTCTCTGTAGTTAAAGAAAACTGTGAAATATTTATACTAGGAGATTTAAACGGCAGAGTAGGGAGAGAAGAAAATAACAGAGTCGTAGGAAGATATATGGAACAAATAACCAATGATAACGGAATGCGTCTTAGAGATTCTTGTGAAACAATGTCTCTCAAAATTATGAATGGATACAACCTACTAGGAATCTGCGCTCGATAATCGACTATGTAATCCAACGTCAAACTTCCCAGCTGAAAACAACTGACGTAAGGATATACCGTAGATCAGAATGTGGACCCGACCATCGTTTACTTTCGGCCAACGTGATAGTTAACTATCGCAAAACCAATAACACTCAGGTACAGAATATAGAAAAGGGACAAGAAGTAACATCCCCTAAATATAACCGAGAAAGCTTAAAAAAAGATTCAACGAAATTTGTTTACAAATTACGACTGGCCACAAAATTACAAAATGTGGATCGAGATAATATATCAGCCGAAGCATTATACCAGCAACTTAAAAATGCATTTATGAGGCTGCAAGTAAAGCTTTGGGGTATAAAGACAAACATGAAACAAAAAATCAAGAATGGTGGTCGGGGAACATACACAAATATCCGAACATACACAAATAATTGAGATAACAACCATAGACTTAAGCGATGCCCTCAAAAGATCGAAAACGGTAAAGCAGCATGACCTGGAGACATCAAAATTGAGTTGGTAAAGTATGGACCAAACATATTACATGAGATGTTGATTCAACTATTTAACAAATGCTTAAAAGCACAAAATATCCCTGATGATTGGAATGTTGGATACATCAATTTAATATTCAAGAAAGGGGATAAACGCAAATGCTCTAATTAGAGGGGAATAGCTGTTATCCGCTCAGTGGGGAGGTTCTATGGTCGAATAGTAAAAGAAAGAATATGAAGACATAGAAGAACAAAATGGATTTCGTGAAAGAACATCGTGCACTGATGGTATATTCGTTCTGCAGCAGGTAATTGAAAAACGGAAGGCAAGGAATCTATCTACCTACCTATTGTTTGTAGATTTAGAGAAGGCATATGATACGGTAACTTTGAAAAAACTGTTTCAAACATGTATGTGGATGCTATCGCAAATATATAAAAAAATGTAAGAAGTGTCATTAAAGAAGGAAACTTTATATCTGAATCATTTTCAATAACAAAGGGGCTTGAACAAGGATGTCTATCTCCGACCTTATTTAAAATATATATTCAATCATCGCCAGAGCAGTGAAAGAAACAAGTATCCAAAATGAGAATAGACATAGGTGGTGGTAAATGTGTAACAACTTTATTTTTCACAGATGATCAGGTAGTCCGACTAAAGAATGATGAGGAAGACATGGACTACATGTTTAGAAAACTAAAGAAAGAATTTATGAAAAATGGAGCCTCAATATGAATATGTCAAAGACAGAGTATCTTAAAATAGGAGATGATGAAGAAGATCTAGAGTCATAAATTAGAAACACAAAAACATGAAAGGAATCCAACAAACCCAAAGAAAATTTTATAAAACATTATTTGTAGCAAATTAAATTTTCTAAAATTGTGTCCTGTAGGAAATGCATGCTAAGGCATAAAACAAAAATTTCAATGAACTATATCCTTACCAACTTCTGTTCCAACATTAGCGTGAAGTACAATAAGAAGAACCACATGCTCAATCATCAGCCTTTCCGGAGTTAGTACTTCGGCTACCAGTGATTCCATCATTAGGTTTGTTAAAGTATCATTCATATCGTTTCTACTGTTGTTCATGTACAGATCTTCGATTTGAGATGCTATGCTGTGCATGTTGCTTTCCGCCAATCTGTTTATTAAACCTACAAAATATATTGATTAATAGTGTTATTGAAAATTTTTTACTACCATGAATTACCAAAGAGTAAACAGAATACTCTTTTTTTTAATAATATACATTACCTTTCAATTGTTTTCTTAGTCGATTTAACTGTTCTGTTCTTTTTTTATCATTTTCCTTTGCCCTCAATGCAGGTGGTACATATTTGGACTCCGATTTCTTTAAAAAATAGTAAAAGTGTATTAAATATATACATTTACAGGTGTGTTTGATGGGTTTTTGTGCATATATTTCCCCTATTAATGTGATTTATATCTCTGTCCCAGTTGTCCAAATAACGATGCTTGTAGAATTTAAATTCTGACATAAAGACAAAAACAAATTGTAGCAATGAAAATAGAAAAGAACAAAAAGCACAATTTGACAGCATTTAAATGATATTTCCAGTGGAAATGTTGATAGGGAATTAGGAAGTAGTAGTCATGAATAGATGAATAAAAATGAATAGATAAATGACAAATGATCATCACTACCACATTCAATTTTAAAAAACAAAATTTAGCACTTACATTTGTAATAATAGATCCATCTTTTCCTCTCAGTCTACCATATATATCTTCCCAAGTACCATCTGGAAACTGTTTAGCAGCACCTTTATGGACATCTTTTTCTCCAGAATCAGAATCATCCTCATTATAACTGCCATCGTCACCATCTGATAGTTCTTGACCTTCCAGGTCGATTTCATTTGTATCAACAGCATCAAAATTATCATTATTTCCATCACTTTCATCATTTTCACTATTAGAACCATCTGCTAATACCATATTTTTCTTCTTTTTATTGGGTACTACATCTTCCTCCAATTTTCTCTTTTTGCTTTTATTTTTGTTGCGGATAGCTTCAAATTCGATGTCTTCTTCATCTTCAATATCATCTCCATCACTCTCTACATCATCATCTTCAAATTCTTCATTTATATCATTATTGTCATCATCTTCACTATCACTCATAAGTTCAGGATCATCAAATTCTTCACTGGCATCACTATTCTCTGATTCTTCATCTACCTCTTCAGTTTCTTCTAATTCTGCACTATTTTCTTCTAGTTCTTCACTTGCTTCTTCATCATCTTCGCTAATTTCTTTAGCTTTAACACTGACTTTGGTCTTTTTACTCTTTGGTAAAGAGATTTTGGGATCTTTCTTTTTTGGTTTGTCTGTCATTAGTGCAAAATCTTCTTCAAAATCATTATTTGCTTGTTCAAAACCTTGTTCAGCAGCTACACCATGTTTCAGATACTCCGGGTCAACAACCTCTAATAAATCTAGAAATAAGAGAATAAAAACAACAATTTTCAACATCTACTTCATATCTTCAATATTTATTATTATTGGATAAGGCAGTAATAATTGTATCAGTACTTAATTTTTATTTGATTTATGATTTTTGTATAAAATTTTGAATTGAAAAACAATTTAGGAAAGGACTTGTACACAAAAAGGTTAATTTATTTAATTCTTTTTTTTTTTTTTCAGAAGCCATCTGTTACAAACTGGTTGTACTTCCAGCCAAATGAATGAACTACAGCTCTAAATGAACTCCACAGGATAAGAGATAAGACTCTCACCTGTGGAAAACCTCTGGCTACCTCTGCTAACACTTTATTTGTAAGTAATGTTGTATATATCACATCATCTGTATACATAATAATGTGAGCAATTTAGCAATATGAACAAGCTCCTCATAAGCAAGGATTTGTCTCTTCCCCTAAAACTACGTCTAGTTAAATGCTACATTTTTCCGATCTTGTTGTATGGAGTGGAGGCCTGGACGCTAACGAGAAAACTAGAAGCATTCGAAATGTGGGTGTACCGACGCATTCTTCGTATATCCTGGACCGAACATGTCACCAACATAGAGGTACTCCAAAGAATCGGAAAGGAGAAAGAAATCGTGAATACATACAATATTGAGACACGATAAGTACCGTCTGCTACAATTGATTGTCCAGGGAAAAATAGATAGTAAGCGTGGGCCAGGCAGGAGAAGACACTCGGGCTCCAAAATCTGCGGAAGTGGTTCGGGCTCACATCGGCCGAACTATTCAGAAACGCAGCAAACAAGATCAAAATTGCCATGTTAATAGCCAACATTTGCAACGGACAGGGCACTTGAAGAAGAAGAAGGATAAGGCAGTAATAGTTGTATCAGTACTTAATGTTTATTTGATTTATGATTTTTGTATAAAATTTTGAATTGAAAAACAATTTAGGAAGGGACTTGTACACAAAAATGTTAATTTATTTAATTTTTTTTTCAGAAGCCATCTGTTACAAACTGGTTGTACATAATAATGTGAAGTCAACTTACAGTCTAAACCATCTTCTGTAAAGCCTTTAGGTATAGCTTTTGATTTGCGTTTCTTTAATCCTAGCTGTTTTTCCATTAGCCTAATTATTTTATCTTCCTCTTTATTGGCTTCTACAAGCTGTTTGCTTCTTTGCTTTTTCATATCAGCTTCAATTCTCTTTTGTTCCTTTTTTTCTTTTTTCCGTAGTTGTTCAGTACTAATTTCCTAAAAACAATAGTTCATTAACTGAATAACGCAGTTTTCAAGAATAATCCAAACTGTATATATTAGTATATCATTTATAGTGAACAGTTAGGACAGTTATATGGCACAAAGTTTGTTTACGGTCTAACTAGAAAAGTAATCAATCATAAATACTGGAAAAAAGCAGCATCAAGAAAAAAATTATGAGTCAAATCAAAAGCCAGAAGAAAAATGTAGAAACAATAGAATGAATAAGGGACATACCTTATTGTGACCCCCATGATTGACGCTTTCTTTGTTATTTTTTTCATGATTCTCGGTGGGGACTATTAAATCAGTTTGACTATCATTTTGATCTGTAACTCTATCGGGATTTCTCACTAGAGCACCAGGCTGTAAATTTTTCTTAGAAAAGAAATCATTCCTTCGCGATTTCTTTTCTTTTCGTTTCTCTTTTCGCTGTTGTTTCCTTGTTAACTTTGGAGGTGGTTTTGACTTCTTTTTGAATGCCATTAATAACTTTTATTTCATAAAAAAATAGAAAAACAATAAAAAAATAACCTACAAAAAAGAACTGTCAAAACGAAAATCGAAAAACACGTGCGTCTCTTTATAGACAACCATCACCACAGCAAGTTGTAAAAGTGGTAGTATACATAAAATAAAATCTGGATAATGTGGATAATAAATCAGAGAATCCTAGTTCTCTGATAATATCTGAATAAATTCAAAAGAGAGTGAGAATCTGATCAAACAAAATTTTAGCAATGTAAATTGCGCTCTTCTTTGTTTTAAATTCATAGTTAAATCTGATTGTATTGATATATTTCTATTATATTACATTTTCATTTTAGTGTTTTTAGAGAAACATAGAATTGTAGATGATTTTAAAAATTGGACAAGTACATTTATTGTTCTATACGATATGTTAATTTACGTCTTTATATTATGAAAGTAGATCTGTTTTATTGTCTGATTCACTTTCTTTGTAAATAGTAGGTAACATTTTATTAATTTACAGTAAGTCAAACAGATTAATTTATATGTTATTTTTTAATCTTTATCTTATAAAATATGTCTGTCGATAAAATAAAGTGACATAAATTATCCTATTTCTGTAACAATTACATAATACATTTTTCAAAAAGAAAGTAAAATATGACTGGGTTCAAGGTCAAGAAATAGGTGACTGGATTTACTAATGTCGGTAATTAAAAATTTAATTATAAAATATTTTTAGTTTCAGCCATTAAGTAACTTTTAGTCAAATATCCGAGATATCAGAGATAATAGTCGAGATTATTTTGTTGTAGGTAAAATATGTGACTAATAAATTATCTATTTACTAAAACTAGTACAAACCAGACCATCGGTTGGTTAGTCACCTTTCAAGTCAGGTTAGCTGATGCATTCAGACGGTAAAAAATGTATTAGCCTTGCAATATTTAATTAGAAAACAATCATGTGGTTGCTGGTAACGCTACTAGTACTAACGTAGGTATTAATTTTAATTTGCTTCAACTCTGCACCTTGTTATTTACAAAAATATTTACTGAAATGTCAGTGTTTTGACAGATGTAATTGTTATATTGTATAAATTATTTACAAAATGTTTCGTGTGGGGCAGAGATTTTTTTGTAGTAATCATCAACTAAGTAATTATTTTTCTTCTGATTACTTATATACCGAAGAGAATGTAAAAAAAACTGCAGCAAAATTTGCAAGTATGAAGCCAATTCGATTTAATACCAAAGAGCCTCCAATGAGGGCAGCTGTATTAATTCCACTTTGCGAAGTTGACGGCAAGGTGTCGTTACTGTATACTTTAAGAGCGGCGCATTTAAAAAATCATCGAGGCCAAGTCAGCTTTCCTGGTGGCAAGCAAGATGAGATGGACAAAAGCTTAGAGGAAACAGCTCTTAGAGAAACACAAGAGGAATTAGGAATACGTCCCGACGATGTAGAACTGTGGGGTAGTGGTAATTTAATAGTTACTAGGGGAGAGACCTGTGTATTACCAGTTATAGGAAGAGTAGTGAAACCATTATCAGCTGACAAATTAAAAGTGAATCCTACAGAAGTGGAAGAAGTGTTTACAGTGTGTTTAGAAGATCTGTGCAAACCAGAATATTTAGGTCATACACAATTCAGAAAACGTTCCTCGCTTCCTGTATTTTTAGCAGGGAAACGAAGAGTATGGGGTCTAACTGCCCTAATAACAAACATGTTCCTTACCGCACTTTTACCTCCTAAAGCCTATTCACATAGAATTAAATATGTATCTACTGTTAAATTAATAGAGCCCAAAGCAATGTCTACCTGATTTTGTAAAATAATTTTAAACCAAAAACTATGTAAATTTTTATTTATACATTGAAACAAAGTGTACTTTGTTACTGTAAGAATGTTATTTATTTGTTGACTGTTATGTAATTGATTGTGATATGAAAAAGTTATTACAAAATTGCCAAAAACTTGTCACCAAACACAAAGCTTACCTTTGCTGGTTAACACAGGCAAATATATATATATATATTTTGTATTTCGTAGTAGTTTTACAATATAAATTACAGCAATCAATTTGTATTGAGTACTTTACATTTATTGTGCCCCATATTTTCACCTAGTTGATGATTTGGTTTCTACTACTGACTCAATAGAACAAAAATCAGGGTCTCTAATGAAGAGTCAGGATTAGGGTGTGTAATTTGTGACTAAAGAATTGTTTATTACACAAACAGCCTTAGAGTTATTAGAAGTCGAGAAACTTTTGCTTTCAAATGTATGCCACATATCAAAGATTGTGACTATATTCACAGTTTAATTACTTTTTAAATTAATGCTTTATTTTTTTAGGATTGTGATATAATTTCAAGCAATTAATAGTAGTTACAGTACTGATACAATACATATAGTTGGTTCCTTTTGCCTTTAAACATTTTTAACTGATAGCCTTTGATTTAGACAAAACACTCAGTATTTTATGTTAGGTTGTTTTTCAAATTGCATATTTGCTTTAACAGTTTTTTTGCTTACAACTAAATTATCTTCAAGGACTTAAGAGAGATATTATATTCAAATACTAAAAGTCCTACCAATTATCTTCGCTTTATTCTATAATTTCTGTTTATCTTTATTGTATCGTTTATCCTATGGAGAATAGCTGTTTTTTGCTAAATTCATAATTATTCTACTTGTTTGCAAGATGCAGGTCTATCTGCATTTTTATTTGTTTGTAAGAAAAATGTTTGGTTTAGATCATTTTTAATATTCACATCTTCATCATTCACCTAGTAGTGAAGTAGGGTGGTTGAACAGGCTAAAAAATTTATTAATTTCTACAATTAGTGTAAGTTAAGGGTACTTGATGGACAAAAAAATGAGAAACATAAAGTGAGAAGGATTTTTATCAGTATTATTAGATATTATCTTCAATCTTTTCATATGCAACCATTATGTAGAGGCCAACCATTCATCTTTTAATTAAAAATATGACACTTATTTTAGCACTAGGAAATTCTACACCAGTCATGTATATTGCTCAGCCAGATATTTTATTCGAGGTCACCTCTTGTCCCATATTTTACTTTTCAGTATAAGGATATAGTAGGTATATATGAAGTAGGTATATATGAACTCCCATATTTTACTTTTCAGTATAATATATAGTCTTTTCTTCTTCTTATTCGTCTAGCCATTCACGTCCACATCTGAACATAAGCCTCTTCAAGTCTTCCTTTCCATTGTTTTTTATTGTACGCTACTTGTAGCCAATTTTTCCCGGCAGTCCTTTTCAGATCATCTGTCCATCTCATAGGAGGTCTGCCTCTGGGTCTTTTGTGTTGGTATGGTCTCCAGGTTAAAATTGATTTGTGCAATTTGTTTATATCGCTCCTAGCTACATGTCCAGCGTATTCCCATTTCAACTTTAATGATTTTTGCACCACATCGGTGACTTTGGTTTTCTGTCTTATCCATATGTTTGTTTTCTTGTCCTTAAGTGATATACCTAGCATTGCTCTTTCCATCACGTGTTAAGTGGCTCTAAGTATATTCATATTCTTTTTTGTGATTGTCCATGTTTGTGCCGCATAAGTTAATATCGGAATAATGCATGCATCAAAAACTTTGAATCTAAGATGTAATTGAATTTGTTGATTTCTGAGTATATAGTTCAGTTTACCGAATGCTGCCCAAGCTAACTTGCTTCTTCTTTTTATTTCTTCAGTTTGAATTTCCCTATTTAGTATTATTTTTTGTCCTAAGTATATATATTCTTCAACTTTTTCTATAACTTTATCGTTTATTATTGTCACAGTGTCTTCGGAGTGCATGACTTTTGTTTTGTTTAAATTCATTTTCAGTCCTATTTTAGAAGATTCGGTATGTAGTTCTAAAAGCATGGTTTGCATTTCTTGTAGGTCAGTAGCTATCAGGATTATGTCATCTGCAAATCGTAGATTACTGAGGTAGCGGCCATTGATGTTTATTCCCTTATATTTCCAATTTAGGTTTTTAAAAACGTCCTCCAAAACTAAGGTGAACAGGTTGGGTAAAGTATCTCCCTGTTTAATGGTACAGGGTTCGTGTGTTCTTCTTTGTTCAAATATTTCTTCTTTGGTCACATTTTTTATCCACAAAAGTGGTCTGCAAAGGATCCATATTTAGAATGTTTCAATTTTTCTTACTTTTAATGAACAAGTTTTAACATCATATAATATTGTCCAGATGCAAAATTTCATAATATTGATCCGAATTTTAACCTTCTTGTCACAGCCACATTTGTTATTAATATTTGAGCCAAATATTTAATATTCAAAGTTTGTCTAGAGTCAAAGTTAGACATTACAGGCTGTCAATGGATTACCATTATTTTAGTTTTTTTTTATGTTTACAAGAATCCATATTTTTGTCTAATATCATTGATCTTATTCAGCAGATATTGCAGGTCTTTTTTTAAGTAGAGTTTCAATTAAAACGAAGCTTTTCTGTGCAATAATAAAACCAAATTGTGTGTCACCACTCATGCCCACACCTTCTGGTTATTCTGGTCTGAATTGTAGAACATGGAACATTAAATTAATGTGCCAATATTTGCAATGTATAGTATTTGATATCCTGAGATATGTATTTATTTATATAACATAATATTTTAAATGAAATCACAGGCTTCCATGACCAGAGTTAAAATTAACTCTTCCTACTTTGGACCATGTATCTTTTGGGCGACTTGTATGTGGTTTCATTTCAACATTTCGCTACCCTTCTAGGTAGCTTTTTGAAGTAATTTAAGTACTCAACAAAGCAGAAGAGAAAACCAGCACAGAGATATACTCCATAACAATTCCGTGTGATCTGCAGTAAGTATAAATCTCCAAAGAAATGTGAGTTCCATGGTTATCCAAGATGAGAAGCATTGGATCTTCTTTCGAGGCCTTTATATGCTGACAACAATTTTTTATCCAGTCAAAAAATATCTCTTTATTTATCCGACCATTTTTTGAACATTTGTATACTGCTCCAATTGGGCCTCCTTTCATTAATTGTGAATTCATATGTATTCCAGATAATATGGGCATAGGAGCGACAACCTGTCCTGAAGCATTTACAGCGCATACTATGATAATATTTTCTCTCTTTCCCAAGATATTACGGATTCTCTTGGTTTTGACCTTTTGGTGCCAAAATTTTTGATAATTTCTGGATCGTAGAAATGAACGTTTCATCTACATTAAAAATTCGACGATCAGGAAATTTGAACTTTTCCATAACTGTGAGCAGATTGTTAAAAAATCGTTCAACCTCATCTTGAATGAATGCAGAAATGTGGTTTTGACTGGTACCTTCGGATTTTCTAACACTAATGTGTAGATGACGCTCTAAAAAGAGTTCCAACTAATCTTCAATCAGCGATTTTCAGCTTTTAGTTCATCTTCTATCCTTTTTGATCGTTGTTCGAAAGTAACCACGGGGTATTTAGGAATTTAAAAAGCAATACAGACACTATATCAGCAAAATTCCTCATATGGAGTAAATTTCGCTGCGCCAAATTACCTTATAGCTGCGCGGTATTCCCTCTAGGTTGGTAACCTATATATATATATATATATATATATATATATATATATATATATATATATATATATATATATATATATATATATATACCTATATATAAATTTATGTATATAAAGCGAAATATTCATGGAATAGTTTTAATGAAAATTAATTACAAAAGCACTTTCTATCACTTCAAACTAGACTGCGTGCTGTGTTCAAAGTTGAAATACTGCTGTGTTGCCAAGATATTGATGAGCAGAATTCCGCCGGTCTCGTGGGTAACCAACAAAAGTAAGCTTATTTGATAATGTATGTTAACCATTTTTCGTTTACCAATCTTATGTTGGTAGTACTATGTACAGTTGCGGTCACGGAATAGTTTACAGGTTCACGTATCTAGGAGCCCATTTTTTAAATTTTTACTTCGTTTAAACGCACCTTTTACGTCAAAGTGACGTTGCCAGTGGTGTACTAGCTAGAATAGGTAGATTAAAATTAAAATATCAAAATATTTTACAAAATGAAAAATATAGAAAACAGTTTTATCTTGTTATAAATAATACTTATTAAAACTTGCCTTAGTGACCAACCTTCTTCGAGTTTGGCAATTGCTCTTGCTTTTTGCGCATAATTCAAATGTATTCTAACCATTTTGGAAGAGTTTAATATACTTTTATTTTATTGTTGAACACTCGCGAAAGCATTGACGTTTTGAAATTTTTTGACTTTGACATTTATCAAATCCGTACGACACTGCAATTTTACAGTATTACAATATAAAAAGTAAGGTGTAAACTATTCCGTGACCGCAACTGTACATATACCTTTTATCCATTTAACTCATTTAAATTGAGCATGTTTTGATATGGAGCCATAGAAGAAAAAACCCAATCAGAGTAGTGTGTACCATAAAAATGAAGTGGATTGGGATTTTAGCTCCTCCCACAAAATATTAATATATGCCTACATAACCTCAATTATTTATTAATATAATTATTTAAAGCTTTTTCATACAATTCAGAAAACTGTTATATGTTTATAAAAATTTTTTATTTAAAATCCTTTATAAAAGGTATATAGTTTACACTTAATCGGGCTATATCAATTACCAAACCTTTTCGGAATCTATATTCCATCATCAGTGTAACTAGGTGTAAATGCATGATACTATGAATTTCTAAAGATAAACCCGCGAGCACGCGATCAGTCTATCTCTTTTGCACGTGTTACGTCACTTGGCGACAAATATCACCAGAAATGTTCACCAGAAAATTTTGCATGGAGTTTTGTCAGATTTAGTATTGTTTTATCGTTTATCTAGTACGTTGACTAATAAATGTGTGCACTTTTAGATAAAATATATTTCAGAATATTAAGTTAAAGAGATTGGTCCTGAGACAGAGTGTCTACGAGGACTTGTTGATAGCAACTGATTGTAGTTCTCGTAGACATTCTGCCTCAGGACCAATCTCTTTAACTTAATATTCTGAAATATATTTTATCTAAAAGTGCACACATTTATTT